CCCCAAAACCCCAAAACCCCAAAACCCCATATTAGAAAGTATTCTCAAATCCTAAAGAAATTAAAAGTTAAATATTTGGTCTCGTTTCATTTTTAATTCTTCACTATTAAAACCTCGAAACTCTTTGATCAGAGAGATAATGACTGTTATCATCTTCAATTTCTTTTATATCATATTCACTGCTTTGCTATTCGTGATCTCTTTAACTCAGATTCTCAAACTGAGATCCATTGTGTAAATGAGGAGAATTAATTTATAATCTCCCTCTTGATCTAAACGTAACTTATTCTTATCTGTCATTATTGTTGTTTTAAGATTGATTTAAATTGCTTCTCTCACTTCTATTTTCATGAGGATTGCTACCTCCCATATCAGGCATTGGAGAATGCAAGTTGTTTTAGTTGAAATTAAAGTTTTCATTTCCTCTTGAAAATTATATCGTATTGTTTGAACTGTATAGTTCATTTGGGAATCTCTATATTGAATTTTAGTCTGCTTATGAGAACTTGCTTGATCCCATACTAACTCTTTATAACTCAGCTTGTCTTCCGCGTTACTTTTGAATGCTCGACTTGTAATATTCATTGAACATTGTCTTTGTTTTAAATCCTTGGAACTGCTCTTGGTAATTATTTTCTTGGAGAGGGGATTTATCTTGAAAATCATTTTTATCCATTACTTTAACAAAACTATTTTCGAACTCATTCTTCGGTGATCTCATTGGAGAATTTTGAGCATTAGAATCTAAAAGATAATAAGGGCTTTCATCTTAGTCATTGTTTTTCAACGTTGAAAGTCTGCTAGCAGGTGAGAGTGCACTCTGAATATTGGTTTTAAACTATGTATTCCCTTGTCTTTATTTTTACATTGGATGCTTTGGAGGGAGGCCTAATAAGCTTTGCTATTTAGGATTGTTTCTGTCTCTTTAAATGAAGCTAATATGATTAGAATTTTACTAATTCTGGTTAAGACTTTGCTAAGTCTACATAAAGCTATTTATAACTTTATCTTTTAAAGACTGAAGTTTATTTTTATCTGGAGTCATTAAAATTGGGTGTTCTAATTTTTTCCTTAAACTTATATCCTATTTAGTATTTAAAACTGAAAAATCCTAAATACTTCCAATACTATCCGCTAGTCTTTTTCTATTATTTTGGTTATTTAGTGATGATTCCCTTGATTTCCTAGATGAATTTTATTTATTATAAGCTTCTTAAAAATTTTCAGTCTGCTTTTTCTTTTTTTCATGAGAATTGTAATTAGTATTATACGTTTATAGTTATGTTTGTATTTATATTTTGCCTTCATCATCTTCTGCATCACTATTTTATGTAACTTATCGTGATATCATTTCTAAAATCTTTAAATGTAAATAAAAAATCTAAATATACCATAGTCTATCTCTTTTGCTCACTTCTCAGTTCATTTATCTATTCCTATAGCTATTGCAATTTTTGTGAGTAAAATTTGCAGACCTACTTAGTAGGATATTTTTCAATTATTCTATTAAAAGATATTAATAAAATTTTTTTAATTACTGGCTAAGTTTTTAACAATAGTTTACGGCTTCATCTAATTAATTTAACTTAGCTAAACATTATGCTTTATAAAAGCATAGTACAGGATTTCTATCTAAAAATACTTCACCAGAAATCTAATCAATCAAATCTAAAGTCTCATTATATTCTTTACTTTCAAAGGATGCAACAGCATATATTATCTAATCGTGTTGGACAAAATAGTCTAATCCCTTATTGATTGATGCTTTGATAATGGTTGAATGTCTATTTTCATAGGAATATTAAAGTTGTTCAATGCAGCTTAGTATATTATTGCTTTCAAAGTAAGCAGTAGCTAGATTCAAATGAGCAATATGAAACCTTTCATTTTAGAGGCCTTTATCCATCAAAAAGTTATGAACTTTAACAGCTTGTTCGTAGCAGTTTATGGATTTAGTTATTTCATTTTTTTTTCTTAAAACATTACCTAGATTATTAAGAGATCTCGGAAATTCGTAATTTTCTCTGATTGAAGATGTAAGATAGATTATTGCTTCATCGAATTTTCCTAAGTTAAAGTAGCAAAGACCAAGGTTATTCAAAACTTCATAATTATGAGGGTTTATCTGAAATGCCTCATTGAAATAAGATAATGCTTTATCATACTATTTTTAGACTAAAAATTTTTCACCAAGCTTGTTGAAATGGTAAACTTCGCTAATTATGTTACTCGCTCACATACCATCCTTATATTGTTAGTCCTAATTGTATCGCCTATTTTAAACCTCGAAAATCTCGTCATCTCTGGGCATTTATTGTAATATCATTCTTCTCGAAGCTGAAGAAGACCTTTATTACTCACCTCTTTACTTTTGAACTTCTTCAGGCTGCTTTAATTCCTCTTAGATTCCTTACTCATTTTAGTCTTTAACTGAAGTACATTTCTAACCCATTTTGAAAAATAAACCTAATCAAAATATATAATATTCATTTATCCACCGACTTAAACGGGTTTTGGGGTTTTGGGGTTTTGGGGTTTTGGGG